AAGTCGGCGTGTGGGGGTGATCGATGCTCTAATTCAGCCAATCTGGGGCATGGTGATGAGCTCGTACCAATCAGGAGTAAAAGCCAACCTGTAAGCCACTGTAGAGTCCAACTGGTCTACGCCATATTCTGAGACAGCCTCCTGGCCGTAGACCAACCTCAGGTACGTATCGAACACAGTCTGATTTCAAAGAAGAACCCCTCTAAGAATGAACCACCTTAGGCCACCTCTTCATCTGATACCATCTTCAGCAAGCTTTCAGGCAGATCCCCGATCCTCCGTACCGTATCCCTACCGATCGAATCATCGTTACAGTGGACGAGCTTCCCATTCCTTCCTACTTCGCCATCTCCAATTCCCTATTCTGTATGAGCTTAAGTGTCTCCAACATATCAATTGAGTGCAGCGGCAACCCTCTTAGTTTTGTCTAGTAGAGACCACCCAGGTGCACCGTTGATGGCCAACCAAATGCCCACCTCGTATATTGCAGTGAGCTCAGGCATCCCACCAACCGAGCCACAAGCCGCTAAGAACTGTGCCGTTTCCGCATTGCCGGACACATTCACAAGGCGAGCGTTGACCAGCTGAGGAGAGCTGCGGCCTCAGGACACAGCCAGATCACCTCATCGAAGGTGGAGCCTTGTCCTCCTTGATCCTTCAAGTCGGTCAGCTCAGCCCAGCTCCCCTTGAATCTACATACTCACACTAACAGCGATGCTCCAGAGGCCCATACAGGACTTCTCCAGCAGAGGCAGTTGAAACTTCCTCCGGGCCTCGGTACGGGCCAGGTCACTCTCCAAGGCTACACATTTCACAGACAGTTGCTCGATGGCCTTCTGCAGGTTCAAAGCCGAGGCTTCCGAGGAATGTACAACACCCAAGATGTGCACCTACGTACACCACCCCAGTGGAAGCGGGAACACCCTCATTTGAACGTACTTTAACGCCGTTCTTAAGGGCGATTGGCTTCTGAATACAATATTCCAGCTGAGGGGACTTGGAGCCTTTCGAGAACCTCTGTTGTAGCTCCTCCACTCTCGTCCAGTCGATACACTGCCATGCCCACGAAGTGGATTTAGATCAACCCCAAGCATGGCTTACACTGGTCTCCACATCCCCCAGTATTTCCTCAACTGCTGCCTTCATCATACCAATCTCCGACTTCTTCCCATTGCTCTTAGATGATCGCAGATACTCTGGGCAGCTCCCAGCTAGTCTGCACAGGATACTGGGAAACTCTAAAGGCTTCACCTGTAATATTAAACCTGCTTTGCCTAAGGACGCGAGCACTCACCACTTCAGCTGGCGTCTTTGCTTTCTCTCGGAGGCTCATCAGGTGAACTCTTATGCTGCCTCCAGAACTACGCCATTGCTGTTACCAACACAAAATCCTCCTATTATGACTAGATATAATATCAATGTTAGTAAACGATACACTCAATGATGATGGTACTCCTAACGTCATTCACTACTGCTATGCACTATCCTCTCCGCAGCCTCCTGGCTCACTCGCCGATTGTGCTCACACATATTGACGTACTTCGTTTTAGCGCGCGCCCTGACGTGGAACATAGAACCTTACCACAATGAGCCGTCCTGACGTCACCTGAAGGCCTCTACAGGGTCCGAAATGTTAAAGTCCGACACCGGGACGGGGGCATCCGAGAAATTGGATCGACGTGGGATTTTCGCAGGTGGGGTATCCTCCCGGCTCCTCGAGCTGGACCTAGTCAAACGAGCATCCAAACTGACGGCCAGACACGACTAGACTTACCTCGATGCCGACCTCGACTGGCGTCTCGAAGGGCTGCTGCTCCGTGATGATACCGATTCTACGATAACAGTACTACACCTTTTCAATCTCAAATTCAACAATTGAAAGAACAGAATAGATGAATGAAATTTGATTTTCGACGAGTGAAAGGAGTTTTTCGCGAAGTGAAGGTCCAAATTCGGAATGAAAGTTAGAATTTCGTTGACCGGTCGAAAACGAAAGTTCAAATTCGTAAATGAAATTTGTGAATTCGGAAACGCAAGTTCAAATTCGTCGAACACAAGACCAATTTCGACCAATGAAAGCTCACTTTCATTCGATAGAAGGAAATTCTCGTCAGAGTCGTGCCACGGATCGACTTGCGACTCGCAAATTGCGAGTGTTTATGGTGCTCTACGGGCTACACCGTAATGCTCAACAGTACAGTGCAATCCACAAATTTGCAGTGAAGGATTCTCAGAGATTCGAACCGAGAGATTGTTTAGGTTTGATTCTCCTATGGAGAATCTCCATTACCCTTCCGATGATATCGAAAGGACGATGGGGTCAGCACATGTTCGGTTCGATTTCCTGACCGCCGAACCGAACTTTGATCGACCGAATACCGAACCGGACCAACCCTCTACGAAAAGTTCGGGTTTCGACGGGTTACATGATGTAAGTTACATCGGTCCCGGACCGACGAACCGATGTGACCCGACGTTCCGGAGAACTAACCGTGAATATCACTCAGTGCAATAACTGTTCACATTTGAGAAGTACCTCGAGCAGTCTTCGCACATTGTGCGAGTTGT